AATTTTTTTGTGTGTATGTTTTTTTTTTAGCAGAGACTGGGTTTCACCATGTTGGTCAGGCTGGTCATGAACTCCTGACCTCAAGTGATCCACCTTCCTCAGCCCCCTAAAGTGCTGGGATTACAGACATGAGCTACTGCGCCCTGTCCAAAATATTTAAATATATTTAGCATAGTCTTATTAATGATACTGACACTGTCATAAAACATATTGCTAAAATGCTTTGATCTTGCAAAGGTAAATCTCAATATACATTAAACAACCACCAGTTCTCCCATTTTGTGGCCCTTTTGAAACACCACTGTTTTGTTTCTGAATATAACTGTTTTACATATCATCCAATCTCTGTATTAATGTGACTGGCTCACTTTATTTTGCATAATGTCATAAAGATTTATCTTTATAGTTATATTTTTTGCTTTTTGCAAACTAAATGATATTCCAGTATATTTATATTTCAAATTATATTTGCTGAATAGGTTGGTGACAGAAATTTGCATTGCTTGTACCTACTAGCTTTCAGTGACACTGCTGCAATAATTATGGGTATGCAAGTGACTCTTTATATGACCGAATATGTGAAAGTTTATACATGTGCTGCATTCTACTTTCTTAACTTTATATTATTTTTTGTTGTTGTTGGCTTACAGTATACTTAATTAAATTTATATTCTTAGAAAATTAATTTAGTTCTGTAGCTTTGCAATGTGTTTTGAAATAAGAAACTGCAATTTGCTTGTTTTGAATATTGTTGGGTTCTTTATTGTCTCTTGAGATTTCATATACTTTTGGAGTTGTTGTTTCTATTTTTTTGGAAAAATTTGAAAAACATTACATTAACTCTGTAGATTACATTGAGCAATGTTAATTATTTCAACCTTTGAACAATAGCACACTCAAATGTGTGTTAATTTCTATATATTTGTGAATTTTTCCCTTTTTTTCTATTATTGTTTTATATTCTCATTGCATTTTGGTTATAGAAAGCAACCCATATAGTTTCAGTTTTAAAAAATTTATTAAGACTTCTTTTTTGACCTAACAGGTGGTTCTTTCAAGGGGAGTGTTGTATGAGCTAATGAGAAGGGTGCGTATTCTGATGTTAAGCTTCCTTTTTTTTTTTGAGATGAAGTTTCACTCTTGTTACCCAGACTGGAGTGCAATGGCATGATCTCAGCTCACTGCAACCTCCGCCTCCTGGGTTCAGGCAATTCTCCTGCCTCAGCCTCCTGAGTAGCTGGGATTCCAGGCACGCGCCACCATGCCCAGCCAATTTTTTGTATTTTTAGTAGAGACGGGGTTTCACCTTGTTGACCAGGATGGTCTTGATCTCTTGACCTCGTGATCCACCCGCCTCGGCCTCCCAAAGTGCTGGGATTATAGGCGTGAGCCACCACGCCCGGCCTTGATGTTGAGCTTTCCATACCTTCAATGTTGAGAAATAATTGTTTTATACTGCTTTCATTTTTCTGTTTCCTCACTAGTATTCTTTTCTTTTAATTACAGAAAGTGGGATATTGAAATATTCTACTATAATTATATTACTCTCTGTGTGTTTCTGCAGTGCTGTCAATGTTTGCTTTATATTTTTTGAACCTCAATGTGAGATACACATACACGTACAAATTTGTCATAAGTTTCCAGTGACTGAATCTATATTTTTTAATGTCCTTCTTTGTCTCTTTGGAGTTTTGACTTAAAGTACATTTTATTATATATGACAGGTTTTGACTTAACTTGTAGCTGTGTAATATCATTTTGACCTCTTCTTCTCTCATTTGGTTAATATTTACAAAAAAATCTACTTTTATCTTGGAACTTTCAGTCCCTTTTTATTATTAGCTCTCAACTGACTCTTATGGAAAGGCAAGCTTGATTGGAAAGTTTGTTATATATAATATATGTCACATAATTTGTATATAAATTTTACTTATATAATTTTCTGAAAGCGAAACATGAATGTTATTTTATTATTTTATTAGATTCTTGTATCTTTGTCTTTCATTTTCTCTCTGTCTTCCTTTTTTCACTTTATATTTTTGCATTGATATGCTTTCACTTCTCTCATATTTTCTTTTATATATCTATACAGATATTTCCTTTATGGCACCTTTGAGATTGCATACAAACTCTAGAAGTTAAAATGGTTTTAATCTGGTAAAACATTATCTTCATTTGCATACAAAAATTCTTCCTCAGTACATCTGCTCTCAAGTTTGATATTGATGTTGTTAATTATATCTTTTTATGTTACTACTTATTAACAGATGTTTATCATCACTTCTATGCTTTTATCTTTCAAATTTTAGAAAATGATTAAAAATGTTTTCTGCCTCATTATGATAATGCTAAAGAATGCTATTATTGTGCGTGTACATATCTTTCCCAGAATTTTTTTTTCTTGGTAGGGTTTTGTGTTGTTTTCTTATATTACGTTATTTGCAGTGGAAGGAACTCCTTTCAGGATCTTTGATATGTAAGGTATGTGCAGTGCCAATATTCTTTCTTAGGATTAGGTTATTTTGGAAGGTCTTTTATTTTGATGTGGTCGGACAGTTTTGTTATTTGTGTTATTCTCACTGAACAGCTATTTTTTTTTCAAGACTCTGACTATATCACCCAGTTCCATTCACGTCTAACGAATTTTTTTATAAGTTCATTGGCTATCTCATAAGACTATTCTTAAAAATGACACATGATTTTATCTTGCAGTTCCCAAGATTCTTTTGTTGTCCCTGACTTATCTCTATAATTTATGTTTTTTGATATTATTATTGTTCGGTAGAAAGTCCCGCCATCTTTCCCCCAGGTTTCTTGCCCCCACCCTCCCCTCAGGCTTCCTGCTGCCCTGAGTAAAGCCCGCCAAGCCTGCTCTGTTCTGCCCAGCAACGACAAGCAGCCAACCATTCCAGCAGTAAAGCCCGCCAAGCCTCAGCCTGTCCTGAACCGACACATAACCCTCTGAGCCACCTCAGCAGCCTGCCCAGAGACGGACAGCCTATCCTAAGCTCCCACGACACTCCGCCAGCCCTGTGTCCACGCCCGGTCCACCCCCCTATAAAACCCTCCTACCCCAGCTGCGCAGTCGCAGCCAGCCCCGATCTCCTTCCTTTCCTGGCCTGCCTGCTGGTCCCAATAAACCTGAACTTGGCTTCCAACTCTCGCTCGAGCTGTTACTTGGGATCGGGTACTGGGCAGGGGTCTACAAGGGGGTCGCACAATTATTTTCATTATTTTTCTGATTTTTAAGTTGTCTTTTTTTTTATTTCACTTATTGTGTAGTATTTATCTTAAATGTTTAAAAATAATTCATACAGTGGCTCCTGCCAGAGGTCATGGCGCTTGCAAAGGCGAGGTCATGAGTTCAAGGCTAACCTGAGCAACCTTATAAGCTCAAACTGATTGGCAAAAATAATAATAATAATAATTCATACATATTTACATTTTTAGGATTGCTTACCGAAAGTTTGATAATGTTTTTGATGGGCCATGTTGCCCTAATATTTTGTATATATTCTAATTTTTGAGATTTGGATATTGAAAACAAGCTGCCTGTCACTGTCTTTATAATGTATGTAGCTTGCCGGGCGCAGTGGCTCACGCCTGTAATCCCAGCACTTTGGGAGGCCGAGGCGGGTGGATCATGAGGTCAAGAGATCGAGACCATCCTGGTCAATATGGTGAAACCCCGTCTTTACTGAACATACAAAAAATTAGTTGGGCATGGTGGCATGTGCCTGTAATCCCAGCTACTCAGGAGGTGAGGCAGGAGAATTGCCTGAACCCAGGAGGCGGAGGTTGCAGTGAGCCGAGATCATGCCATTGCACTCCAGCCTGGGTAACAAAAGAGAAACTCCGTCTCAAAATAAAATAAAATAAAATAATGTATGTAGCTTTGTCCTGGCACAGCCTGAAACCAATTCTCTTGCCTAGAAATTTTGGAAGTCTCTCAAACATGTTCTTAGAATGTGACTGGTCTAAAATTTTGTGTGTTTTTTTTAAATAAAGAAATATGTTAATCCCAGCACTTTGGGAGGCCGAGGTTGGTGGATCGCGAGGTCACGAGATTGAGACCATCCTGATCAACAAGGTGAAACCCCGTCTCTTGTAAAAATACAAAAAATTAGCTGGACATGGTGGCGTGTGCCTGTAATCCCAGCTACTTTTGAGGCTGAGGCAGGAGAATTGCCTGAACCCAGGAGGTGGAGGTTGCAGTGAACCATGATTGCACCATTGCACTCCAGCCTGGGTAACAAGCGAAAGTTTGTCTCAAAAAAAAAAAGAAAAATAGTAATCACTTTTTAATAGTAATCACTCTCTACACCTGTTTCCTGTCTGTTTCCTGTGCTGCAGTCTCTCTGCCTCTATAACACATACCTTTGATCTAAACAGACTAAAACTGTAATTCCAAATTATACCATTTCTTTTAGCACTTTATGTCATGGGAGACAGATACAGACACCAGTGTCTGGAAAGGGCCCTAGAAACCAGAAAGATGTATGTGCCACTATTTTTTTGTCTTTTAAAAAAGAAACCAGGAATTTGCAATTTACTTCTGAAAACATCATGTTATATTGGGGAGCAGAAAGAGCTGTGTCAGGTAAATCTAACAGACTTTTTTTTTCTTCTGTGGAGCTCTTTGCATTATGCTCACCTGGGGCACTGCCCACAATTATTTATAATTTTTTTTTACAAATGTATTCTGGTCAGAATATTTATCACATTTATTTGTCTACAAGGAGTTAGGACCTGTGGTATTTTGCTGTGCCATCTTACTTACGTAGTTTGTATAATATAGATTAGATTTGTAAAGTATATTCATCTGAGTCTAGTAAATAAAACAATTTGTTATTTTTATTTCTTTCAGTTTTGAGTTATTTTCCCAAAGACCTTTGGCTAAAGCAAACATAAATTCTTTCCAACAAGAGATACTGACAAGATGTGGAAAATGTGGACAATGTGGCAAAGCTTCTACCCGATCCTCAACCCTTACTATGCATAATAATTCATACTGGAGAGAAACCGTACAAGTGTGAAGAATGTGGCAAAACTTTTAAGCGTTCTTCAGACCTTACTAAACATAAGATAATTTATACTAGAGACCAATCCTACAAATTTGAAGAATGTGGCAAAACTTTTAACCAGTCCGCAAGTCTCACTACTCATAAGATCATTCATACTGGAGTGAAACTGTACAAGTGTGAAAAATGTGGCAAAGCTTTTACCCGATCCTCAACCCTTACTGTGCATAAGAGAGTTCATACTGGAGAGAAACCCTACAAATGTGAAGAATGTGGCAAAGCTTTTAGCCAATCCTCCACCCTTACTATACATAAAATAATTCATAATGGAGAGAAACCGTACAAGTGTGAAGAATGTGGCAAAGCTTTTTACAGATTCTCCATCCTTACTATACATAAGATAATTCATACTGGAAAGAAACTGTACAAGTGTGAAGAATGTGGCAAAGCTTTTAAGAGTTCTTCAGACCTTACTAGACATAAGATGATTTATACTAGAGACCAATCCTACCAATTTGAAGAACATGGCAAAACTTTTAACCAGTCTGCAACTCTCACTACTCATAAGATTATTCATACTAGAGTGAAACCTTACAAGTGTGAAAAATGTGGCAAAGCTTTTAACCAGTCCTCATGTCTTCATATCCATAAGAGAATTCATACTGGAGAGAAACCCTACAAGTGTGAAGAATGTGGCAAACCGTTTACGTACCAGTCAAGGCTTACTAGTCATAAGAAAATACATACTGGTGCAAAACCCTACAAATGTGAAGAGTGTGGCAAGGCTTTTAACCAATCCTCAGCCCTTACTGTGCATAAGATAATTCATACTGGAGAGAAACCCTACAAATGTGAAGAATGTGGCAAACTCTTTATGTACCAGTCAAGCTTTGCAAGTCATAAGAAAATACATACTGGAAAGAAACCCTACAAATGTGAAAAATGTGGCAAAGCCTTTACCCACTCTTCACACCTTGCTAAACATAAGAAAGTTCATACTGGAGAGAAACCCTACAGATGTGAAATGTGAAAAGTGTGGCAAAGCTTTTAACCGGTCCTCAACTCTTACTAGACATGATAATTCATACTGGAGAGAAACTGGACAAATTTGAAAAATGTGGTAAAGCTTTTAATCAGCCCTGAACTCTTACTAGAGATAATTCATACTGGAGAGGAGCCCTACAAATGTAAAGAATGTGGCAAAGCTTTTAATTGATCCTCAACTCTTACTATGCATATGATAATTCATACTGGAGAGAAACATTACAAATGTGAAAAATGTGCCAAAGCCTCTAACAAGTCCTCAAACCACACTACACATAAGAAAATTCATAAGAGAAAATCTACAAATGTGAAAAATGTGCCAAAGCCTCTAACAAGTCCTCAAACCATACTACACATAAGAAAATTCATAAGAGAAAATCTACAAATGTGAAAAATGTGCCAAAGCCTCTAACAAGTCCTCAAACCATACTACACATAAGAAAATTCATAAGAGAAAATCTACAGATGTGAAAAATGTGCCAAAGCTTTTAATCATTCTTCAAACCTTACTAAACGTAAGTTAAGCAGTCCTCGATTCTTACTACTCATAAGATAATTCATACTGGAGACAAATCCTACAAGTGTGAAGAATGCAGTCATCAGACCTTACTAGTCACAAGGTAATTAATGCTGGAGAAGAGCCCTACAAATGTGAAGAATGTGGTGAAGCCTTTAGTGCATTCTCAAGCCTTACTCAACATAAGATGATTCATACTGAAGAGAAACCTTACAAAGAATGGCAATGCTTTTTAACTACTCAAACCTTTCTAGTCATAAGATAATTCATAGTGGAGAGAAACCTTACAAGTGTGAAGAATATGGTAAAGCTTTTGACTGACCCTCAACCTTTACTATGCATGAAATGATTCATACTGCAGAGAAACCCTACCAATGTGAAGAACGTGGCAAAGCTCTTAAATATGCCTCAACTCTAATGAAACGTAAAATAATAAATACTGGAGAGAAACCCAACAAATGTGAAGAACGTGGCAAAGCTCTTAAATATGCCTCAACTCTAATGAAACGTAAAATAATAAATACTGGAGAGAAACCCAACAAATGTGAAGAATGTGGCAAAGCTCTTAAATATGCCTCAACTCTAATGAAACGTAAAATAATAAATACTGGAGAGAAACCCAACAAATGTGAAGAACGTGGCAAAGTTTTTAACTGGTTCTCAACCCTTACAAGACATAAGAATTCATACTGAAAAGAAACCCCTAGAAATGTAGATAATATGGCAAAGCCTTTGTGCATTCTCAGCTTTTAATAAACGTAAGATAATTTGTACTAGATAGAAACCCTACAACTGTGAATGGTATGGCAATGCTTTTAACTGTTTTTTAAGTCATACTAAACATAAGAAAATTTATAATGGAGAGAAACTCTACAAACCTGGAAGATGTCACAGTAATTTTGACACACCTCAAACTTTTCTTTTTTTCTTTTTTCTTTTTTTTTTTTGACATGGAGTTTCACTCTTGTTGCCCAGGCTGGAGTGCAATGGCACAATCTTGGCTCACCACAACCTCCACCTCCCAGGTTCAAGTGATTCTCCAGCCTCAGCCTCCTGAGTACCTGGGATTACAGGCATGCTCCACCCTGCCCAGCTAATTTTGTATTTGTAATAGAGATGGGGTTTCTCCATGTTGATTAGGCTGGTCTCTAACTCCCGACCTCAGGTGATCTGCCCACCTCAGCCTCCCAGAGTGCTCGGATTACATGCATGAGCCACCATGCCTGGCCACCTCAAACTTTTCTAAATGTAAAAGAAAGTATAGTGGTGAGAAATTTTAGAAATATAAAAAATGTGACAAAGCCTGTAAATGATTGTCGCACTTGATTGTAGGTAGAGTAGTTTATACTGGACAAACTTTGTTTTTGACGGAGCCTTGCTCTGTTGGTAGGCAGGTATGCAGTGGTGCAATGTCTGCTCACTGCAACTTCCAGCTCCCTGATTCAAATGATTCTCCTGCCTCAGCCTCCCCAGTATCTGAGGTTTCAGATCCTCACCACCACATCCAGCTAATTTTTGTATTTTTCAGTAGAGACAGGGTTTCACCATGTTGGCCAGAATGTCTCAATCTCCTGACCTTGTGATCTGCCCACCTTGGTTTCCAAAAGTGCTGGGCTTACAGGTGGGAGCTACTGTGCCCGGGTGTACAAACTTAAAAGTGTGAAGAATGAGGCAAAACTTTTAACCTATGCTCACACCTTAATACAAGGAAAGCATTTATTTATACTTGAGAAAAACTGTGTAAATATAAAAGATGTGGAAAAGGCATTAATATCTGCTCACATCATAATAGTACTTAATAAAAGCATTATAAATGGAATTACTGTCAGGATCTTTCAGAAAATACAAGCTTTTAAAGTGAAGAAGTGTATTTATGTTGACAAACATTACAAATATAAAGAGGGTTGTTTATTTGTATCACAGATCTTACTGTACATGTTTGTACTAGAGGAAAACCCTGAAACAGTTGCTGAAACTTTAACATCAGAGAATTTATATTGGAGAAAACTCCAAATGTAATAAATTTGAAAAAATGTTTTTTCAAAAACTCTAACTTAGACAACTCCAGAGGGTTCTAAGATGTATTTTTGTGAATGATGTAAGTATGAAAAAATTAATTCAAAATTGAGTCTATGTAAGTATCAGAGAATTCACAGTAGAAATAACTAAGGTGGCCAGGCATGGTGGCTCATGACTGTAATCCCAACACTTTGGGAAGCTGAGGTGGGTGGATCACAAGGTTAGGAGTTTAAGACCAACCTGAACAAATGGTGAAACAGTGTCTGTACTAAAAACACAAAAATGGAGATTGATCCAAGATGGCCGACCACTAACAGCTGAGGACTGTAGCTCCCAGTGAAAGCCCAGAGAACGAGACGACGCCACACTTTTAGAAAAATTTTCGTCACTCACCGATCAGCCGATTCCCAGTGGAGGAGCCCCACGGGTCGCCAGCGCGACTCTTGTGGCCGCCGCAGCGGTTTTGCCGTCTAGGCGCAGCAGCTCTTCATGCAGAGCCAACGGGACTGCTTCCCCTACTGACCGGAGTTTGGAGCTCCGGGAAGTCAGAGCCGCTTGTTGCAGACTCAAGAGGGAAGCCAGACCAGAGATTCCCGGGCAGAAGAGCACCATCAGTCTTATCGATGCTATTTAGGCCGCCACAGTGGGTTGCTCGGATCCCAGCACTGGGAATCAATAAGTCGGACGTCGACTCAGAAAACTAATTAGAAAGGCGGGTCATCTACAATGAAGGGAAAAAAACAGCCTAAGAAGGCCGAGCATACCCAAAATCAGATCCCATCAGCAACGGAACAAGCCGTGATGGAAAAGGACTCATCAGTAACGGAACAAGCCCTGATGGAAAAGGACTGTGTTCCATTATCTGAAGTAGGCTTTAAAAGGTGGATGATAAGAAACTTCTGGGAGTTAAAGGAACTTGTTCTAACCCAATGTAAAGAAACTAAGAACTTGGAAAAAAGGTTCGATGAAATGTTGAAAAGAATAGACAATATAGAGAGGAATACAAATGAACTATGGAGTTGAAAAATACAACACGAGAACTTAGTGAAATATGTACAAGCTTAAACAGCCGAATGGATCAAGCAGAAGAAAGGGTATCAGAGGTCGAAGATCAACTTAATGAAACAAAACAACAAGACAAGAATAGAGAAAAAAGGATAAAAAGGAATGAGCAAAGTCTCCAAGAAATATGGGACTATGTGAAAAGACCTAATATACGCTTGATTGGTGTACCTGAATGTGACGGAGAGAATGAATTCAAGCTGGAAAATACTCTCCAGGACATTATCCAGGAAAATTTTCCTAATTTAGCAAAGCAGGACACTATTCAACCCCAGGCAATACAGAGAACACCACAAAGATATTCCTCAAGTAGACCAACCCCAAGGCACATAATCGTTAGATTCACCAAGATCGAAACGAAGGAGAAAATATTAAGGGCAGCCAGAGAGAAAGATCAAGTTACCCATAAAGGTAAGCCTATTAGGCTTACAGCAGATCTCTCAACGGAAACCCTACAAGCTAGAAGAGAGTGGGGGCCAATATTCAATATACTTAATCAACAGAACTTTCATCCCAGAATATCATATCCTGCCAATTTAAGCTTTACATATGAAGGAAAAATAAAATCTTTCAGGAACAAGCAAGTACTCAGAGATTTTATTACCACCAGGCCTGCTCTACAAGAACTTCTAAAAGAAGCATTATACACAGAAAGGAACAACCAGTATGACCCTTTCTAAAAATACACCAAAAAGTAAAGAGCATTAACATAAAGAAGAATTTTTATCAACGAAAGGACAAAATAGCCAGTTAATATCAAATGGCAGCAACCCTAAATTTAAATTGACCAAATCTCCCAATTAAAAGATACAGACAAAATCTAACGGTATATCCAAAGATATACATAGACTCAAAATAAAGGGTTGGAAAAAAAAAATGTACCAACCAAATGGAGAGCAAAAATAAATAAATAAAAAGCAGGAGTTGCAATTTTCACATTTGACAAAATAGATTTCAAAGCTACAAGGATACAAGGGTAAAAGGATTAATGTAATAATAAGAGATCTTAACACCCAGATACATAAGACCCATAATGAGATTTAGATTCAACGAGACAGAAAATTGATAACGATATCCGGGACTGGAACTAAGATCCAGAACAAATAAACTCAATAGAGCTCTCCATTTTAAACACACAAAATATATATTATCCACAAAATCTAACGATATATCTAAAGATATACAAAGACTCAAAACAAGGGGATGGAAAAAAAACTCACCAACCAAATGAAGAGCAAAAATAAATAAATAAAAAGCAGGAGTTGCAATTCTCACATTTAATAAAATAGATTTCAAAGCTACAAGGATGCAAGGGTAAAAGGATTAATGCAACAATAAGAGATCTTAACACCCAGATACATAAGACACATAATGAGATTTAGATTCAACGAGACAACAAATTGATAACGATATCCAGGACTTGAACTCAGAGCCAGAACAAATAAACACAATAGAGGTCTCCATTTTAAACACATAAAATATGCATTAACCACTTTAAACACTCAAAATATTGATCGGCCATTATTGAAACCCATTTTAGGAATGAAGTAATATTCCTTTTTCCCTCTTTTTCTTTTTTTTCCCTTCTTTAAAAAAATAAAAAAAATAAATAAAAAAGAAGAAAATGTCACTGAAGTGTAAATATTCCCTTTAAAATACATATTATAGTGCTCTGGGAGGCTAAGAAAGTTAAACATAAAAACAACAGA